CAGAGGAAAAACTAGGGTGACATTGTTGGGTTGATGTCAGGCAGTGAAGCTAGGGTGACACTAGGATGAGTCTGGTGTTACATTTTTGGGGAGATGCTGGTTAATGTTGATTTTGGGGTAGCTCTGGGGCATAACATCTAAGAATGACACTGGGATGATTTTGGGGGTTGATACTGCAGTGATGTTGGGGAGAAAGTTTTGGGGGATGACACAGGGTTGACACTGCGGGGTCATTAGTTGATTCAGGGAGTGAAGCTGGGCTGACATTTCAGGTGTCATGCTTGGGGGAAGCTAGTGTGATGTTTGGGAGTGACATTGTTGGGCAGTGATGTTGGGTGACATGGCGACTGGGGGGCGACATGGATGGGGTTATAGTGTGATGTGACACTGGGGTGTTGCTGGGAATTGACATTGGACTATGAGTGGGAGATGACACCAGGGGGTGATGCTGGGGTGACAGTGTTGGGGTGATGCTGGAAGTGACCTGGCCATCTGTCCTCTCAGCCCCAGTGAAGCACCAGAGGTGCTGGGTGACAACACGGTGATATAGAGCATCCCTTTGTGCTACAGTGTGGAGATGGTGGCCATCGAGTGAGGTGGAGGAACACCCCCATTACTCCTCTATGCCCAACAGCCCCCAAAGGGGACCCTGGAATGGAATACACCTGTGCCCCACATGGACCCCTCATCTCTCCAGGCAGGAGGACTCCATCCCGTCCTTAACTTCACCTCAGGACAGACCCACTGTGCAGAGCTGCAGAACCACTACCAGATAAAGCCCCCCAATGGCCTCTATCCCTGCTGCCCCACAGCCCCCTGCCTTGCTGATCTCATTGTGGGAATCAAATGTTGTTTCTGCATTAGAATTGGATAATATATTTTTTTTAATTTCATGATCTCCGTTGTCATAGTTCTTTTCGGGAGTCCTTCTACTTAACTTGGGGAAGATCTCTGATAGTTTACATCACTTATCCTCTAGACAAACCCTCCCAGGAATGCACGCTCTCTATATAGGTGTATATATGTGTATTCTGTCACACACATTGCAAGAAGATCCTGCACGAGATCAAACCAGATAACAGCTTTGCCCGAGGAAGCGCCTGAAGAGACATCGGAAGGCCTGGCATCATCCTCCCCTCCCTGGTGCTCTTTGTTTAACGAAGACTTGGAGACAATCACCATATCAATGGGACAAGAAGAGCACTGAGACATCTTGGAAACAACAGGATGGCTACTGACTGACACCAGATAACACACGAATCAACAAACGTAGTACCCAGCCAACGGGGAAACAGGGCAGGGAGATAGGTAAAGGGAAAAACAGGGTATAAAGACTGTCATCTTGTGTCCATAGGTGCTCCTGTTTGCGGGATGCCCGTGAATAAAATCTGCTTTTATCAGAGATACCATCCTGACAAAAATTATTTGGATGTTTCCAACATCATGGACCTCTCTCACTAACCTCCTCCATGGCTCCTAGCCCCACTGATCCTACTTGACCCCACAGCCCTGCCCCACAATTCCACCCCCCACCCCCGTTAACCCCACTTCTGTTCCACGTCTAGATGGTGCCACCCCTACCACTCGGTGCTCCCCGCCCCAAACCTCACTGCCTTCATTCTCCTGCCCCACGGCCTGGCCTGGCTGTCCCGTGTCTGTGTGCTGAGCCCTACGGCTTCTCACGGTGCTCACTCCCACCCTGTGAAGCAGTTCTGTGGCGCAGTGAAGAGGGCTCAGTGCTGTGGAGCTGGGGATCACTGTCCCTCCCACACAGGAGTATGGATCTGAGTGCGATGAGATGGAGAAAGAGCAGGAACTGGAGCTGCAGCGGGGCCAACTCCAGCTCCAGCCTAGCACCGCTTCCGCCCGCCCGGGGCCACTTGGCCAATCGGAGCCCGGAGCAGAGCCGGAAGAGGTGGGATAAACAGGGAGAAACAGCAGCCCTGGAGTTTTGTGGGTAGCGAGGCGGAAGTGCCGCTTTTCAAGGTATCAGTCACGAGAAATTTCCAGGAAATTTCCAGGACAAGCATTTCCGTGGGGGTGCGAGGGATTATGGGTAGCGTGGCGGAAGTGCAGCATTAGGGAGGTAACGGGCTACGACCAGAGATGCGTAAATTAACCCGGAAGCAATTGGACGGGAGCAGAGGTGAACGGAATAGAGCGGAAGTGAGTGTGTAGGGACCGGAAATCGGCTGGGACACGGCGCTGGATTTGCCGCTCTCTGGGGCCATGCCGCTGCGCGCTGTGTATCTCCTGAGCGCCCCCGGTCCCCGCGGCCGGCCCCGCACCTACGTGGGATTCACGCACGACCCGTGGCGGCGACTGCGGCAGCACAACGCGGGGCGGCAGAAGGGTGGGGCGCGGCGCACGAGCGGCCGCGGGCCGTGGTGGGTAACCGAAAGCCGGGGAACCAGGGCCGGAAGTGCGGCGATGCGGGGCTCGGCGGGTGTCACGTCGCGGCCGTCTCTCCCGCAGGCAGATGGAGCTCTACGTGCACGGCTTTCCGTCCGACGTAGCGGCGCTCCGGGTAGGACATGTCCCCCTTCGGCCCACCCCCACAGACCACCGAGCAGCGCCTCGCTCTCGAGAAGCCCCGCCCCCCCCCGGTCCCGGTCTCACAGTAGGCGGATCTCTTTCTAAGCCCCTCTCCCTTATCCCCGCCCATCCAGCGCTGCCGCACCCCTAAGCCCCGCCCAGCCCGTTGTCCCACCTCCCCTCAGCCCGGCTCCTCCACCATCGCGCCGCCTGCGCTCCCCGCCCAGTTTCGCTAAGCCGCACCTTCTGTGCAGTTCGAGTGGGCGTGGCAGCACCCCGCCGCTTCCCGCCGCCTCCAGGATGCCAAGCCCCGCCCCCTTCCCGGCGAGCAGCCAATCGCTTTCGCGCTTCGTATGCTGCCCTGCCTGCTCTGGGCCCCGCCCTGGCGCCGCCTCCCACTGCGCCTGCGCTGGCTCCGCTTCCCTCCAGGCCCCGCCCTCCGCCCGGCCCCACCCCCTCACATCGTTATGGAAATCGACCCGGGAGGGCCGAGGCCACGCCCCAGGAAGCGGCCCGCGAGCACTTTGGCCACGCCCCCTACGTGCACGCTGTGTTCGGAGCCCTGCGAGGTGAGCTTGGGGGCTTGGAATCTTTGGGGTCGTTTGGAGGCATTTTGGGGGTCGGTAGAAGGAATTAGCGGTGTGTTAATTGGGTATTTTGGGGTCTCCCCTGTGTCATGCTGGTATGCTGTGAGGAACATCTGTGGCGCTCAGGGTCCCCTCTGTCATATTGAGGTCATTCAGAGGGGTGTGGGGGCTTTGAAACAGGTGATTTGGGGTCACTCTGTGGGCTCTGCAGTCCAAGCGTGGTATTTTGAGGTCATTATTTTTGATGACCGGCCTCTAAAATGTTGTTGAGGTCCTGTGGGGATGTTAAGGGTCAGCTTGGTGCCCATAGGATGGATTTGGTGTCCCTGGAGTGGGCGGGTTTGGGGTCCCAAATGGTTGCTTCAGGGTCATCCTGATGAGTTCTTGGGCCTTTAAACTGCTACCTGGGACATTCAGAGGAATCTTGAAGCGGATGCATTATAAAGAGGCTGTGGCCTGGTGTGACCCCGCCTCCTCTACGCGGCTCCACCCCCCAGGGCCCCACTCTCCGCTGTCCCCACCCCCCCTGCCCTGCCCGCTGCCATGCCCGCTGCCTTGCCCCACACTTCCTGGGGGCGGAGCCAAAGGAACTGCTTCCACTGGGCGGGACCTGCCCCAGGTGAGTAACCCGGGCTTAGGGAGGGCGGAGTCAATTAAGTGGGCGTGATCAGCGCCAAGCTCCACCCTCAGCTGCCAGCAGGAGGTGCTGTGGGGAGAGCTGATTGGCTGCGGGGATGGCGACGATGAATGGGTGGAGCTGGGAGACCCTACCTTGGTAAGCCCCTCCCACCGGCCTCTGACCCCAGCCCCGTTGCCCTGACCATGCCCCCCAATCTTTTACCCCACCCGTTGACCTCTGCTCCCACAGGGCCATTGGACGGATGAGCTGCTGCAGGGCCAGCAGGCGGAACCTGAGTGAAGCCACCTCTCCCTCTGTTGCTTTCTAACTTAATTTATTCCCAATAAAGCAATGGCTGGAATTGCTCCCAGCACCATTCTTTTGGATCCTGGAAGGGAATGGGATCCTGGGGATGGATGGGGGTCGTTCAGATGGATTTGAGGTCGTTAAGGTCACTTTGGGGCCCACACGGTCAAGTAATCCTGAGCTCTATGTGGTCCCCACGTAGCATTTTGGGGTCAATTAGAGGGACTTTGCAATCTTCCAGTGCACGCTTCCAAGTCCTGCAGGGCATGTGGGATCCTTGAGGGATGCTCTGGACGCATGTGGAGTGTGTCTGGGGGTCATGTGGGTCACTCTGTGGTCCTTAGCGGTGGGTCTGGGGTCCCTGATGGACACTAGGTGTCTGTAGGTCACTCTGAGGCCCTATGGGGTGGGTCTGGTGTCCCTGGGATACCTATGGTTCACTGTGGGGCCCATAAGGATGAGTTTGGGGTCATGGGGGACACTTTAGGGCCCTATGCAGTGAGTCTGGATTCCCTGTGGATTGCTGTGGGGCGCAATGTGGTGAGTTCAGGGTCCTTTACAGCAGTATGGGGTGTGTTTTGGGGTGGAATGTTGTGATTTTATGGCCCTCATGGTGCCACTATGGGGTCCCTACAGCCCCTCACCCATGACAGCAAATACCCAAAGTGCCCCAAATTCATCCCCAAGACAGCACAACCCATAGCATCTGGACTCTGCGTAACCCTCACAGACCCACAGACCGCGAAAAATCCCCAGAATGGCCCAAAATACCCCAACTGCGAGGGTCACTTCTTCTTGGTCTCCTTGCAGGCGACAACATAGCGCTGCGCCACGTTCAGCGGCGGTGAGTAACCGTCAGCATACGACGTGTCCTCGAACAGCACTGAGTAGTCGTCCTGTGGCTGCATGTGTGGGGTGAAAAACAGCAGTAGTAATGAGTGAGCACTGGGGACAGGGCGGGGCCGATATCCAGGGCAAAGTGGGGCTGTACCCGCTGCGGTGGTGCATGGATGAGGGCGCGGTAGAAGCAGGTGGTCTGCGGGTACAGTGCCAGCACCAGCTGCTCACGCTGGAACAGCGCTTCAGGGTCGGTCTCAGGGTTTGCCTTCCACTGCGGCAGAGGGATCACACGGCGCCGGCTGAGCGTGTGCCTCCTACAGGATGGTGGGGGGGAGCAATGAGTGCAGGTTGGGGGCAGATGAGGGGTGTGGAAAGCAGGTTTGGGGGGGTTGAGGAGAGTTTTGTGGTATGGTGGTTGTGGGGAGGGAGTTTGGGAGAGCTAGACAGCTTTGGGGAGGTGTGTGGAGAGGATTTGGGAAGGTTTGGTGAGAACTAGGAGAAGTTTGTGGGGAACTGGGAGGATGGGGGCATGGGGAGGGGGTTTGTGGGGAGTTGGGGTGTTTTGAGGGGTTTGAGGAAGGAGTTTGGGGGGAGCTAGGGAGTGATAAGGAGGGAGTTGGAGGGATTGGGGAGAGCTTTGGGAGGGGGTTGTGGGGTTGCTGGGGAGTTGTGGGGCTGGGGGTACAGTTGAGGGGTGGGGGTGCTCACTCTTTGCCCTCCTCATCGATGTCGTCCACCTCATACCTGGGGCGGGGAGAAGGGAAAAAGGAAAAAGGATTAAACCACAGCAAAATGTGGGGAAGTGCTGTGACCCCAGAGCACCCCACAGCCCTACAAGGAGCAGTGGCTGCAGTGTTCCCAAAATGCCCCACACTGCCCCGTGCCATGCCCCATTCCCCCCCAAAATGCCCAAACCGCCTCCTCAGCCCCTTGCTACCACCCCCCACAACCCTGCCCCCTTCCCTCCCCACCTCCCACCCTCTCACCCCCTCCACACACTTGTTGGCAGCATGGCTGTAGCTGACCACCTCAGCCAGGATCCACTGCTCGTCGCCATCCACCGCCTTGACGCGTGCCGCCACTTTGTCCCCAGGCTTGGCCACGTAGTCCCCAGCTGCCGGCATGGCGCCGCACAGCGGGGGCGGCCTGAGGGTGGGGGGTGTGGGTTGGCAGGTGGGAGTTAGGGTGAGGGGTAAGGCTGGGATGGGATTTGGGGTTCTGCAGTGCAGTCAGGGGGAAGCTGGCAATTCAGGACAGGGGTCAGGGAACAGAGCCTAACCTGGGGTTTGATGGGGTGCAAGGAGAGAGAGAGCAAGGGCATGGTCAGGGGGAGTTTTGGGCGGGATCGGGTTTCCTGGATGGGGCTGGGGGCTATGGTGTAGAGCAGGGGGTGGGATTTGCTGTGTGTCTGGATGTCACGTGTAGGGTTAGGGCTATGCTTTGGAGTCGGGGTCCAGAAGCAGTGGATGGGGTTAGGGTGTGGTGTGGAACGGGGGGCTCAGGGCAAAGTGTAGGGCGGGGTGTGGTGTGGGTCTAGGAGTTCAGGGCAACCTGTGGGGAGGGGTGCACTGGGGGGGTGAGGGAGGACCTACTTGTCGCCTGGCTTGCCAATCCAGAGCGGCAGCGTCATGGCCGACTGCTGCAGCAGTGTCATCAGCACGCCCCGGCGCATCGTCTTGCGCGGTGGCTCTGCGTCACTGTAGATCCCTGCAATCTTGGCGGCTGTGGCACAGTGGGGCGACAGGGTGACACCAAGACTGGGGGGGCAGTTGGGGAAGGGGGTGGGGAATGCAGGGGGAGATTTGGGAGCAATTCCAGGTATTTGGGGCGTAAAAGCAGAAAAACAGAACATGGTGTGACAGGATGTAACAGAACATACTAAGAGAATCTGAGAGGAATGTGGGGTGAAAGCTGGGAAAACTGGGGCCTGAGCTCACATCAGAAAAGCTGGGGGGAAAGAAAGAGAAAGAAACACACACAACAGATATGGGAAGGAACTGCAGCGCACAGGGACATCTGGGGGAATTTAGCAGAGTTGGGAAGGACAGGAACAGTTTGGGGGAATTTGGGGGTTTCAACCAACTCAAAAATAGGAAAAAAAAGTAATACAAAATACCGTAGTATCAGGGGGTGCATACAGGAGTCTTTAAAACACAAAATAATACAGTAAGAATACATAAGGATTCGGGTATGTGTTGGGAGAATTCGGGTGAAAACAAGCAGAGTTTGGGGACAGAAACATGGAGCAAGTTCGGCCTGGCTGCGCACAGGATTGTGCAGGGACACGTGGGGGTAAGGGGCACATGCGTGGGGACACAGCAGCACAACGGAGGCACGTACCGATGCGGCGCTCCTCCAGCAGAGACTTGATCTCGGCAATCTTGTCCAGCGCCTTGCGAAGGATGCTGCAGAGTGCCATCAGGGCGGCTGCCATTCATGGGGGGCACGGGGCAGGGTGTAGGGTTGTTGGGGTGCGGGGTGTGGGGGTGTAGGGATGTGGGTATGCGGGGGCTGCCCTACTTGCACTCGGCCTCAGCATCCGCCTTGGCGGTGGTGTACAGCCCGCGCAGCTTCGTGCGGTAGTACGGAGAGACTGGAGGGGAAGGTAAGAATGTCTGTGAGGCCACGCTCCTTTCACGGAATTCCGTCCCCTTCCTCAAACCCCGCCCCCTTCCCATGGCCCTACCCCAAAACCGCCCCTGCTTAACACCCCTCCTGTCCCGATAGCCCCACCCTCCCCCATCACCCCGCTCCCTCCCAGCAGCCCGCCTTCCTCACAGCCCCGCCCCGCAGCGCCCTTCAGGTTCCCGGCGCCGCTCGCTCACTCTTGTTCTCGGTCTGCATCCTCTCGTGCGTCTTCTGGATGTTGATGAGGTTGTGCTCGCTGCGGGAGCGCTCCTCCTGTAAAGCAGCAGGCTCACGGCGGGGGCCGCCCCCACAGCCCCCAAACCGGGCCCCCAGCCCGGCACCCGCCCGCCAGTCACCGCACCCACGCTGCAAACTCCCGCTCCGCGCCTCCGTCCCCACGTCCGCGGCGCCAACCCCACACCCGTCACCGCGACCCCAGAGCCGTGCGACGAAGCACAAACGCAAACAGCCAGAGTCAGGCCTCAGGCCGCCCCAGAGCCACCTGAACGCCTGGCGGGAGGCAGCAGAGCGGCTCAGACCCTCCGTGCGCCCGCGCCCCCGCACCTGCGTGTGCCCCAGCAGCCGCTGCAGCTCGGCCAGCAGCTCGGCGATGCGCGAGTCCGCCGACACCAGCGCCATGGCGGCGGCGACAACGCAGCGCCCGCCGAGCGTTCTACGCATGCGCCAGGCTCGACACCGCACTACGCACGCGCCATTCTAGAGGCGGCACTAAGTATGCGTAATTCTGGAGACTAGTACGCATGTGCCGTGCTTGATATCTCACCGCGCACGCGCCATTCTGGAGAGTACTACGCAGGCGCCATCTGGAGCAAGCACTGCGCATGCGCTAATCCCTCTACAGCACTAAGCATGTACCACAAAAGGGGGAGTGCGACGCATGCGCGATTCCAGAGACAGTATTCGCATGCGCAATTGCGGCTCTAGTAGTACGCATGCGCCATTCCTGAGAGCGGGAGAGAGAACTACGCATGCGCCAGTCCCTTCTCTGTACTACGCTTGCGCAATTTCAGAGTTACTCGTACGCGATTCTGGAGATGGTACTATGCAAGCGCCAGTCTCAGCACAGTACTGTGCACTCGTAAATCAGATACAGTGCTACACAAGGCAATTTCCGAGACTGTAGTACACATGCGTAGTTTCAGTGTAGCACGCACACGCAGTCCTGGAGAAAGCACTACGCACGCACTGCTCCTTCCGCAGCATTACCCATGCTGCAGTGTCATCACTGTACTACGCATGCGCTATTCAAAACACAATTGTACGCATGCGCGTGCTCAGAGGCAGTGGTACGCATGCGCAAGTCATTGTATTGTATTACGCACGCGCACTTCCAGAAGCAGCAGTACGCATGCGCAATTCCAGATACAGTTGTACGCATGTGCCAGTCACTGCATGGCGTTGCGCATACGCGCCTATGGAGACACTAATGCGCGATTTCTGAGACAGTGGAACGCATGCTGCATTCCAGCGAATGTAATACACATGCGTCAGTCCCTGCCCTGTTGTACTAATGAGTAATTCTGGAGGCAGTAGTACTCATGCGCCGTTCCACAGATCGTGCTACGCATGTTTCAGTCTCTGCGTTGCAGTACGCATGCGCGATTCCTTAGACAGCCATACGCATGCGCCATTCCGTAGAGAGAACTACGCATGCGTTCGTGTTTGTACTGTACTACGCATGCGCCAGGCACTTCACACCGGCACGCATTCCTTGCACAGTACTACGCGTGCACGAGTTCAGGGGCTGTTCTACGCATGTTTCGTTCTGGAGGAAGTTGTACGCATGCGCCGGTCACTTCACTGCGCCGCACGTGTAGCAGTCTCGACCGAGCACCACGCGTGCGGCAGCCGCTGCTCAGCTCTTTGCATGCGCCATTCTGGGAACAATGCTATGCACTCGGTTTTCTAAATAGAGCGTATTACGCACGCGTCCGTCTCTTCAACGCACTATGCATGCGCCATTCACGGTACAGTACTACTACGCATGCGCCACTTCTGAGACAGTACTACGCATGCTCGTTTCAAGAGACTGCTACGGGTGCGTTGCTGCATAGCAGTACGCATGCGCGTGTTTCGAGACAACAATACGCATGCGCCGTGCTAGACACAGCACTACGCACGCTCCAATCCCTGCGCTGCACTACGCACGTGCTATGCTGGATCCAGTACTACACACAGCCGTATGCTTGCGCCGGTCCCGGCATCGGCATTTTGCGACGATCTCTTATGATAGGCGTTGGCGGAGTGATGGCGCAGCGCGACCAAAGGAAGGACTCGCCCGGTGCGCTCCCACAGCTCCTCCGATCCTCACCGTTCCATAAAGCCGCCTCCCGCGCCGATCCCCGACACTCGTCTGCCCCCGGTGCAGTCCGCGCTTTGACCACGCGGTGGCAGCAGAGACCGAGGAAACGGCTTCGGCGCTGGCGTGAGCAGGATTTACAGTACTGCCTCGGGCGCTGTTTCCTTTATTCTTTTGACTTCAGGTGAACGCAAAGTTGGAAAAGGGAAGAAGACAAAAAGGGAAAAATTATACGAAGCCAGAAAGCCTGTGTTAATTCCTTATGAATATATGTGAAAATAGTGACCGAACTTATGTTGCATTTATTTAAATAGTCTGCACCGAAGTCCAACTACAGCAGGCAAATTTAAGATAATAGAGTGAAGGCACGTTAGCAGAAAGCACAAGACTGTATTGACGTTTTCTCAGCCTTTGACTTTTTATTTTTAATATGTTTTTTTTTACAAATGCCTTTTTTGCATTAAAAAGAAATGCCAAAAATAATGTGGTGGTTCTATTTTTAATGATGGTGATTTTGCAAGGTGATTAAAGGTGTTTTGCAAAAATTAAATGAGCCTAACCTAATCAGATCAGGAAGATGAAATGTAATCAGGTAACATGAATGTCATTCTTGGAGGCCTTAACAAAGAAGAGGACTTTGTTGTATTCTAAGGCACACAAATGGACTCCCAGAGCCTGTCTGTGTCCGCCTCGAGTGCCCTACAGGCTTCCAATGATGCTCAAGTGGACTCAAGGGAACCCTACAACACACCCTGAACTTCTCAGTGTCCTCTAGAGTGCCCTAAAGGCTGTGCAGTGTACTCTACTGCAGTCCAAGTAGCCCTCAGTGTACTCAGGACCATACCAGACCAATCTCGGAGCTCCCTGGGCCGCTCCTGGGCACTCTAGGTGCACTGAGAACCCCTGTGAGCACTCTGTGGTGTATGGGTGTGGTACATTACGCACAGTGGGTGTATGGGTGGATGTGTGTGCTGCTCTAATTTCCGGGAATACAGCAGCCAGTCAGTCAGCAAAGTTGAGTTCTGGAGCATCACAGGAAATGGAGTTTTCCACTGCTGCACAGCATGTGGGTAAGTCATGCATATCCAACTTGCAGGCCACGTGTGGCCCAGCTCAGCTTGCAGTGTGGCTCACACCCCCTGCTGCCATGTCATCATGGTGGCAGCTCTGCCCACCAAGCAGCCTGGCCCGCCTGGCCCCAAGACACCAGGACAGCACAGAGCAGTGCTGACAAATAATCATAGAATGGCCTAGAACGGAAGGGACCTCAAGGATCAAATTCCAACCCCCCTGCCACAGGTAGGGTTGCCAACCACCAGATCAAGTATGAGATCAGGTAGTGTGGCACTATGCTTAATTTGCAAGGAAGCCATGTTATTTTTAAAAGTATACAACTTGAAAATACATTATATGCAGAAAAACGCTGCCAAATTCAATGCCTATCAAGGAATGCTAAAAAATACATTAACAATGTTCTGTTGCTTATATATATTACGTATTCAGCCCAAGGCAACTCCTGTTCATTCAATACAGCCCAGGCAAGTCAGAAGACTGGACAACCATGGATTAAGGAGAGGCACGAGACAAAGCAGTGCTCTTTCCCCCAAGGCAGTAGTCCATGTCCTGACTGCTTCATGTCCACCTGACCTGTGGAGAAGTACCAGCAGAACCAGATTCCAGCCCGCAGGAAGCACCAGCCTGCCCTGCAGCACAAACATGCATGGCGCTGGGGTGAACACGTGTCACTGTGCCATGGTGACGAGTCAACTGCATGCCACAGGGACAGTGGGGAGCCAAGATGGTCCATTCGCAGGGCTCGACTGGGGCCAAGTATGTAGTTAAGGGCAGAGCGAACAGAGGAAGAATGCTGGGGGCTGTGAGCAGGTGACCCAGACCTCGAGTAATTAGTGCAAATGAAGCCATTTCTACTACTGCTTGGAAGAACAGACCATAGGCCTGGGTGGATTCATGGAACAGAGGGGTTAGAGAAAAAAAAGGCTACTTCCACATTTCTGTGCGCATGTGTTACTGCACGTAAGACTCCTGCCTGTAGACACAGGCAGACTCAGTGCAGTGATTGGAAAAGAGACACCGCTTCTTTCCTTCATTGCATGCGCTTGTTATTGCCTGAAGGACCGGTGAGTGCAGACAGTGGCAGTCTCACTTTGCTGAGCAGTTAGAAGAAAGGGACATCAGTTCTGCACATCTGCACACACGCATGTTACTTCTGGAGAAGTGCTGTTGTGGAATGCTGCTCCTCCCATCACCATCCCTCATGCCTACCCCCGCAGCGGCACCGCTCTGAAAACCTTCTGCCAGCAGACAGCAGCGGTGGCACAACTGGTGCCCTATGCTCCAGGAAGAGGCAGATGAGTGCCGTGCTGCATGTGCCAGGGGGATCAGGACACCCGGTTCTAGTGGACTGCTGCCCCTTTCGAGGACTGCCTGCTGTTGGATTAAACATGGTGATTTAGAGAACCAGAACCCTCTGTGAGCAGCAAACAGTAATGTTTGTGGATGAATATCTAACAGCGCAAACAGAGCTTGCCTGTAGAAGACAAGTGGACCATCTGTTACAGATTGTTTTTTATTAAGTAGCATAACACTGCATCTCTAATGCACAAATGATTAACTACACTGTAAAACAATGAAAGGGATAGAATACGTTCACTATCAAAAGAAAAGAACTGTTTTGCATAGAAAATAAATGATCTCATTTCTGGCAAAAGAAGAAACAGTTTCTTTTACTAACGGATACAATTTCAACTAAAATTAAGTTATAAATATATGAAAAACAGTGTTTTCAAATATTATGGAAAATAATAAAGTCATCTTACAGTCAAAAATTATTTCAACAGCTCTTGTTACGAGTTAATGTTGCTCATCACTCCATTCAGATGCAGGACAACTGGCTGTATACTTTTTCTTCAAGCCTTTCAAATATACTTTCAAACTATCCGAATCCAACTGCGAATTTCTAGCAGTCTGAACCAATCTCATTGCTAAGTGGTATACAGCTCTGTGTTTCATCATCTCGGGAGTACTCTTCTGTCTGTCCTGTTGTTAAAAGCATACATATACTTTAAAATAGGAAATTAATAATAAATTAATTATTAAAATAGAAGTATGAGAGGGCTTTTTTGCACGCTATTTCTGATCTGCTGATTCTTGGTTGGTACACCAACATTACAGCCAGTACTCCCGAACCCCAAAGGCTGCTTTCTGTTGTCACCTAACAGTTGCCTTTAGCAAAATCTCTTACTATTAGGTTCAGAAATCAAAATGTTACTTTCTTGATGACATCCGTCATCATAAAAGCCTATGTAGTGTTTATGCTATAATCTTTCAGAAATATTTAAAATAAACCAGAGTTTTACAAAAACTGATAATTACAGTAGTATACATTTATAAATGACTGCTACATACCAAAATTTGTTTAGCAACATGGTTTGTGATTGCCTTTGCATCCAAAATTATGGATGGTGGTAGAGAGGAAACTTCTGCAGCTTTTAATCCTAAACAAAGGAAACACAAATAACGATTTAGGATAACATTTTATTCCACCCTCCACATTATTTATTCTACAATCAGCTCATTTTAAAGGGTAAAATATTTATCTAAAAAGTTATTTTGATATAATTTTTGTCTCTCTTTTTCCGTGAATACTGTTTTAAGAGTTACTGGATAAAACGTCTACTTTGTTACAGTGTGGCCCCTAAAACATACTTCCATATTAAATTACATCTGGCATTAAGTGGGCAGGATCAGATACTCCAAAGGATGAATAAAAAATGGCACAGCAGTAATCAATCACAGCTTTATTTTTTTTTCCAAGTTCAGGTTGCGCTAAATGTACTCGCCACTGAATGTGAGTGTTTAGTAGATGCAGGTGTCATTTTCCAAATTCTGTTCCTTGCCAGCTGCAAAGCTGTCAGATACTCAGGGTAAGAAAAAAGATCTTTTTCTGTCCTAACATGATTTTTAACTTTTTTTTTTTTTTTTTTTTTTTTTTTTTTTTTTTTTACTTTTGTCTCTGACTCTGGCTGTGCGGAGGAAATTTTTAACCGTACATCTCTGTGTACAGGCTTCAGGAGATGTTCTAATAATGTATGGTTAAAAATGGACAAAAAAAGCCCCTGCATTTTTAAAATTGTTAAATACAACACTGTTCAATTAAGACAAAGTCAAGACAGCAACACAGGTCTCCTGTATTGGTAGGAGACCTACCAAAAGCCTCTTGTTCACAGAGTCACAGGGTTGGAAGGGACCTCTAGACATCATCAAGTCCAATCCCCCCACTAAAGCAGGTTTCCTACAGCAAGTCACACAGGTAGGCATCCAGACAGGTCTTGAATACCTCTAGAGAAGGAGACTCCATAACCTCTCTGGGCAGCCTGTTCCAATGTTCTGTTGCTTTAACAGTAAAGAAGCTCTTCTGTGTGTTTGCATGGAACTGTGTTTCAGTTTCTGCTTGTTGCCCTTTATTCTATTGCTGCACACCACTGAAAAGAGTATGCCCCTATTCACTTTACTCCCATAGTTTGGGTATTTATAAGCAGTTATGAGATCCTCTCTCAGCCTTCTATTCTCCAGTCTGAAGACACCCTAGGTCTCTCAGCCTTCCCTTGTATAGGCAATGCTCCAGGCCTTTAATCACTTTGTCATCCTCCACTGGACTCCTTCTAGGAGATCCCTGCCTATTGCTGTCTTTTTTGAACTGGGGACCCCAGAACTGGACACAATATTCCAGACCCAGCCTCACCAGGGCAGAGTACAGAGGGAGGATCACCTCCCTTGACCTGCTGACCACAGTCTTTTTCACGCATCCCACGATACCTCTGGCTTTCTTGGTCAGGGCACACTGCTGGCTAATGGCCAACCTGTGGTCCGCCAGGGTGCCTGCATCCTTCTCTGCAGAGCTCCTCTCCAGCATGTCAGCCCTTAACCTGTACTGGTGCATGCAGTTATTTCTCCTTAGGTGCAGGACACTACACTTAAATCTGTTGAACCTCATCAGGTTCCTCTCCGCCCAACACTCAACAGGACCTGGATAGACTAGAATGGTAGCGCAGCTTTCCGATGCGTCAGCTATTCCTCCCTGCTTTGTATCATCAGAGTCCACTCTCAGCTAGTTTGCTCTCTCTTCATCCATGTCACTGATAAAGATGATGAACAAGACTGGACCCTGCACTGAACCCTGGAACTGCTATTCCCAGACAACACTTAAACATTTAGTATTTTTGAGTTAGGGTTGCAGCATCTGAAACTGACCTTGTTCTGCTAACGACAAAGAAACTTAGACCTGAAATGCTGATAAAGAGGCATCTTAAGTCTCATCAATTCAAGCCAGACAGGAAAAATTTGTAGTTTTCAGTCACCACTGACTTGCAGTAATCATGTGTGGCTATTAAATCTCATCTAAATCATAGATTCAGCTACAGAATCTTGCAGTTAGAAATATGGATTTCTACAGCTCTTTAAAACATGCAGTTATACCTTATTGTCACTCATGACTTATTGACTCATAATTCTTTAATTTGCACACTCTTCTACTAAGTTAGTCACAGTGGAATATATTACCATAGTTCTTTTCCTCTGTATATCCTTTAGAAAGTGTGTAAGTGTACGTAATTTTCTCCTTTCCAGCGCTGCTTCTCACATGCTGCACTTCAAAATGGTAGTTTTCCACATTGGGATACAAAGCATCCATATGACACAGTTCCAGGAAATGTGTAGCAAACAAAGTAAATGCCTAAGTAAGAAAAAAAGAAACAAAATTCATGATTCAAACGATCCTTTGATAAATTACAACAAATAAGAAAACAGTCTCACAGTTCTCCAGGTTTTTATCCACAACTCCAAAGAGCTGTATTTAAATTACTAAAAGTATGAATTATGCAAATAATAATAAAAAAAAACTAAGTGATGAGTTCTAACATTGGCAAGCATATGTTTTCCCACTTAGGGTTCCCCAGCTCTTTTGTCAATAGAAGGGAAACACCAGATAGAACAGGAAGCCCGCGATACTTTTAAAATGCGACGGCGTATTTTGAGTGACCATCAAATGGATGCTTTACTTTTTTTTAGTGAATGTTTTTCCTGAGGTACAAGCTACAGAAAACATGTGAGATTTCTAGATAAAACCGCAACGGTACTCTGAATGAACTCTGACAAGAAACTGAATCCATAAACATCTATAAATTGACACAAGCTAAGGCTGATCACATAACTAGTAACAGAGGAGCAACTTCTGATCCATCTAAAATCATGTGACATTCTTCTGAACAAACCCCTGACCTACATAACGAATACTTCAGCTGTGCGGAACTTCCATCCCCTTTAGTGTTCAAGCATACAAAGTACTGACTACGCAAACATCTCGAGGCTGGGTTAGTATTTTTTCTTATCTAGGATAAGAAAGCAAGTTACCAAGCAAGCTGCAAAAAAGATGGTGACTATTGATCAGAATGCAGAATATTTCAGCATCTTCTGACTGTCACAGTAACTCTTACTGTTTGCTAGTTATGAAAAATATCATATCTAGGCAAGAAATCTCTATACAATTTAAATTATGTGAAACCACAATACTTAAAGTACAATAAAATAATTATTAAAAGTTTACACTTTTTTTTTTTTTTTTTCAGAATTACCTTCAAATTCAAGAGATATTCACAGGCAGCATAACAAATGCCAATACCTTCTTCGGCACTGGTACCTCTGCCAAGCTCATCAATTATGATGAGTGATTTGTCATTAGCATTTTGTATGATGTATGTTATCTAGGAAAATATTTTATTAGTTATCATTCCAAGGAAAGCATCTTTTAAAAAATCCTGCTACTAATTGAAATACCTTGTGTTATTCAGATAAAAATTCTGAAATGTAAAAGACTCATGTCAGATTCATAAATTTTACTTTTTCATACCTTCCAAATAGCTGTAAATTCTAAACCCTACAAGTTAACCCTAGGTTAACCCTACAACCCTTTCTCTTTTCCACTGAACATACATACTCTTTGCTGGGTAAAAAAACTGGCTGGACAGCTGTGCCCAGAGAGTGGTGGCGAATGGAGTTTAATCCAGACAGTGTCTGGTCACTAGTGGTATTCCTCAAGGGTAAGTACTGGGGCCAGACCTGTAGAGTACCTTTATTGATGATCTGGATGAGGGGGATTGAGTGCATGCTCATTAAGTTCACAGATGACTCCAAGCTGGGAGTGTGTTGATTTGCCTGAGCATAGAAAGGACCTACAGAGGGATCTGGGTATGCTGGATCAATGGGCTGAGGCCAACTGGATGAGATTTCACTAGACCAAGTACCAGGTCCTGCACTTAGGTCACAAAAACCCTATCAAACGCTACAGGTTTGTGGGAGAGTGGCTAGAAAGCTGCATGAAGGAAAAGGGGCTGGGGAGATTACTTGACAGCTGGCTGAACATGAGCCAGCAGTGTACTCAGGTGGCCAAGAAGCCCAACAGCATCCTGGCTTTTATCAGAAATAGCATAGCCAACAGGACCAGGAACATGACTGTCCCATGTACTTGGCACTAGTGAATTCACACCTTGAGTACTGTTCAGTTTTGGGCCCCTTATTACAAGAAATATATTGAAGCACTGAAGAGTGTCCAGAGAAGGGCAATAAAGCTGAGAAAGGTGTGGAGCACAAGTCTTATGGGGAGAAGGCTGGAGGGAACTGGGATTGTTCAGCCTGGAGAAAACGAGGCTCAGGGGAGACCTTCCTGCTCTCTACCACCCCCTCAAAGGAGGCTGTGATAGTGAGGTGAGACTCAACCTCTTCTCCCAGGTTACTAGCAAAAGGATGAGAGGTAACGGCCTTAAGTTGCACCACAGGAGGTTCAAGGTGCGTATGAGGAAAAATTTCTTCTCAGAAAGAGCAGTAATACATTGGAACAAGACACCCAGGGGATTGGAGGAGTCCTGTTCCTGGAGGTTTTCAAGAAGAGGGCAGATGTAGCACTAAAGGACATGGTTATTTGGATATGCGGGTGGTGGGTTGACAGTTGGACTTTATGACCTTAATGGTCTTTTCCAAGATTTACGATTTTATGATAACTCTTTTCCTCAAAAGCATATGAGTTTGGGAGAAGATAGTGAGAATGCTTAGGCTTAGACAAATAATCCTTCAAGTTCCAAAACATAACAGAACATTGGAATTACTGTCCAGTGGAACACTGATTTTTACTCAGACTGGGGCATCATTATACAAGATGTGTGTTCTCTATCACTTATACAGATAAAAGATTAAGGATGATTTTTTTAACAATTTTCTAAGTACATGCTTTCAGTGGAAAAATACTAGTACAATTTTAATCATGTCAACTGTAAAAACAAATATTTGGCTCTAGATTATCTATGTTTAATACCTCTTTCATTTCCTTCATGAATGTTGAGGCATTTGTTTCTATATCATCGTCCATGCCTATTCTGGTAAAAATTTGCTCTGCAATTCGAAAAGAGCAGTACTCTGCTGGGACATAAGAACCTACAAAGCAAGTAAGATACAAGTTTTCTCATATCAGCATGACAAACACCAGTTTGTCTGAATATGTCAATGGGAAAAAAAAAAACCATCAGTTTTACATTTGGTCTTTATGCACGGCAGAGAACATATCTTGTTCTATAAAACTTCAGATAACATATTTTACTATTACTTTAAAAATATATATATTACATTGATGCTATACTTGAACAATCAGTAAAACCTTAAGATCCCATATGCCTGAAGCTATGTCAGTCTGAAGGGATGCAAAAGTCAGAATGACCTGCTCGATTAATTTACATTTCTGTAGCCACTGTGATACTAAGCCCAAGGGATCGTAATTTCCACAAAACAAGATTTATATTGCCTTACCAGTCTCTGAGAATTACTAGTTTTACTGAAAAGAACAGGGAGATTTATATCATCAATGAATTTTACTGTCTCCTTTATTCATGTTAAATTCATGTTTTTGAGAGTAATTCCTGAAGAACTTGTACTTGTTTGGAATTGGATCCAAAAACACATACTGGACAAATTTTACTCTCCACCACTAAGTAATTTCAACCATTTATTTCAGCCCATTAGATTCTCTCTCCTGAGCTAGTGGCCTTATCTTCCTTCATCTTTGAGATAAAAAAAAATCATGAAGAATTCCTAAGTATAGGGACAAGGCTTAGACAGTCAGACTTTACAAGTATTTCACTTTTATAATTTTAGTGATAAAGCATTGCAGTACTTATTGCTTTTATATGATCTATTAATTCTGCTTGGCTGAAAGCATGTTTCTCCACATAATCAAGATGTCCTCTCAAGTTCATTTCTTCTTTTTGGATGATGAATGTACATGCAGCCTGGTGGGTCTACACTGTGGACACTCACTATTAAGCTAGCATGAGGTGCTAGACTGAGTTATGATGCTCCAAATAAATAAATAAATAAATAAAGCCTCCAACTGTGTTTCTCCTAGTTGAAACTAGCCAGGCTTTTTTATACACAGAGGAGTCCTCGTAAGTTTCCAGAGGCAGACCCAAAATTCTACAGCAGCCTCTTCAGCAACAGAGGCACAGGTAGAAGCAAAAGTACTTAAAATTACATTTTACTATTTACATAGAATCTCATTCTTTAAGATAAATTATTAGCCTTCAAAAACATTTTTAACTAGAAACTAATTAAAGTGCTGCAAAAGTTTATGAGTATGGTAAAGTCTTACCAATCTGTGCCATAATTTGACAGAGCGCAATCTGTTTTAGGTATGTTGATTTTCCACTCATATTTGGTCCTGTGATAATGAGAAAATTGCTACCTTCTGTAAGATATGCATTGTTAGACACGGGTTTTTCCATAGCTATCTTTTCAAGAATAGGATGCCGTCCCTGCTTGATCGCTAACGTATCTGTAAATTCTGGACGAACTAAAAGAGAAGAAGGATATAATAAAGCTTCACAGAATTAGTATGGAAACCTTTAGGTTATTAAACCAGTGCATTCTGAAATGAAGTTCTTGCAGAACAGAAGCCAAACTCTGTGGTCTTGATTCCCTAATTTTTACTTTCCTGTAGTCAGTAAGACAAAGATGGAACACTTAGAAGAATTACCAGCTATTTCAGCTATGGATTCTGACCATCATGCAAGTCCTCAAGATTTATTTTTACAAAAAGAATCCCCAAACTAATGTTACACTTCAAAATTAACATAATGCTTGTGTTCCCCTGTAAGCAGCATAGAACTCTATATTCTTTATTACTAGAGTGAAGCTTCAAAAGAAATCCAATGGGAAAACAGAAACACATTTTCATTTTTGCATGTACTGTACTTTTTGTCAATTCTTTTTATACTGCTATAAACATATAAAATATAGAGGTAATGAATTCTACCTTTAACTATTACACAAGTTCGTTATTGTATCAGCACAGGAAACTAGGAAATAACATTCTTTCTATTTTTGTTCACATAGTCCTATACGGATAATGAGGGTATATACAGTTTCTATGTAAAACTATTTCAAACCAGGCCCATTCTATTTCTGTGGCACCACTGCAGACTAACAAGTGTTCTTAAAATTGCTGCTTCAACAGTGAAACCTTCAAGAAAGAAGCGCCAAAGCAGTTCTTCAGGTTCCAACATTCAGGAACTCTAATTACCTGGTAGCTTTTAAAGAGAATCACAGAATCGTAGGGGTTGGAAGGGACCTCCAGAGATCATCGAGTCCAACCCCCCTGCCAAAGCAGGTTCCCTACACCAGGTCGCACAAGTAGCTGTACAGGTGGGACAGACTCAAATGGCAAAGGAGACTGAGAGCTACGAAAGATAGTCCATTTCTTTGGGTGGATATGCATTCAGGCCTGGCAGTGCAAACTGCAGAAGCAAAGCAGCTTCAGTCTCATCATGAACTGTTGATGTAAACTTCTGTTCTGATTCATTTGATGGGAAAAGACTATGATAACTCAAGCCTATCATTTACTGCTGTGTTCAAAATCATCTGAACATGGAAAATCAGTGTCATTCTGCAAAGCTAACGCTGCTATTGAGCTGGAAATTTCACAGCAGCATCAGCAGTGATGAGCTAATACACCTGCTGAGATGGCTTTCTAGATCAGACTTTATTTGGTATCCACACAGCATTGCATTCTAGCTAGGAACCTTGGGTTTGCACTGTTTGTAGAGATAGGTAGCTCAAGTCAGCATTTATTAAAGACTCTGTGCTTGTCTGTACATTGTAGAGCTGGGCTAGGGAAGTCAGATGATGAAGCGATGCAATTACAGCCAAATTTTTGACACAGGACATAACAACACACAAGTAAGCACTTGATCCTGTATTCCTCAGTAGATCTCCCTAAAAGCATTCAAAAGTGCTACAAAAATTGAAGCTGAAAAATAGGTAGCTACTTATTTATATATATACTTAATGTTGACCTGTTTATATTACATTGTGCTCTTTCAGAACACAAAAGGTAATGTAGGATGTTCACAAACTTGCAACGAATATGCTTAAAACAACCGTCATGAAAAGACTGGATATGAAGCCTTAATGCAGCTGAACGGAAAGAATATAATTTCAATGCACAGAAATAGAAGGAGTATCAGCACAAAATTGGCAAGGATGAACCACAGACATTTTGAGCCCAGTGAGATCGAGAAAAATGAATGACATGGGCTTAGCAAATGGAGAACCAGACAAAGCAGCCTGGATATCCTTCAACTGGAGAGTCTTTATTTGGATTTTAACAGAATGAAAAAAGATAAACTTACCATAGTCAGAAATAGTGCAGGCATGAGCAAATGAAAGCAGCATGTCCAGCATTGACACAATGTCAGACAGCTTGTATAGACAATGAATATGTTCATAGATCTCGTTCAGTAGTTTACACACTATTCTTAAGAAAAAAGAAAATTAACAGTTAATTATGTTCATCCATTCATAGAATGGGAGATTACTTCATAAATCACCTCTACCAAATGCTGGCAAATATCTGAACTTCTTTGAAATATATTAAGATCTTATACAATAACCTCAGATCGATTACTATCATCAGATACAAGACATAGCTCAAATACCAAAAGCATGTTACGAGAGCTTCACACATAGAATTAACTGAAAACATAGCTATGGAGTCAAATGTGTTTTATTAACATCCTCAGGTTGACTCTTAAATTTCCTTAGGCCTTCATGTTAATAAAAACAAAACATCAAACAAACAAAAAAAAACCCACACAATAAACCATACATGGTTTCTAAAAAGGAAAAAAGAAATTTCCACAGAATTCACTGTACACCTAGCATGTCTTCTGAAACAGCAGAATAACACAACATGCAGCAGGGTCAAAAATACAGATACAGTCAGCTCTACTGTTTACTCAAGTGATAATGATTCCGCATTACAAAATTAATACATTCACTGTATCATTTTGTGTAGATACGTCATGTGTGAATAAATACTAAATACAAAGACTATCATTATTAATAAACTTCTATGTCCTTTTAATGATGCTTAATACAATATACACGTTGTGTTACTACTTTTCTCTCAGGTAATGCATTTGATCATCGACATCACTTATGACCCTGATCAGTGTTCACCATGGATTCCTGCCATAAGTAACCATAATTCATCAAAAAGGTGGCTTTAAAAAAAACAAGCGTAAATAGTTTAAATAGGACAAAATAAATGCAGTTAGCAGAAATATTTAATAGTTTTAAACGGTCTTACAAGTAGGTCATGTGATATATTTCTCTCAAGGATTCCTGGCATCTTTCATTCATTTTTATTAAATCTGCTGAAGTGAAACTATATGTGTTCCTTGTTTTAGTGACCTATGGGAAGTTCAAACCAACAGTAAGAACTTGCCACAATCAGAAGCCAGAGGAATTTCTAAAAAGCAATATGGGAAAAACATAGGAAAAAAAAAAAAAGGAAAAATGTGGAAAAAAAATGAGGAAAAAATATCACTTCATTTCTTCCTAAATAGACTTTCATGACAAATCCTTATAAGAGATTGCAGTTATCAACAAGATACACAGCTTTACAATTACAAGCAATGTAGTCATATGTAGTTGCATGAGAAATGGGGCAGCTGTACCAATTACACCTTCATTTACTTCTAGGTATGTTCACTGAAATTATTTTAACTGTTGTTTAAACTGTTGTATAATATGCTTTGTTAGCGTATTATACATTTTATATACATTACTCACACAAAAAATTATTAATAAAATACAACTAGTGCAGATACCTTTGTAAATTCTGAAGGAAGTTGGCCATTAGGTAATGTTGAACAATCAGCATTCAACTGGATAAAAAATCCACGCACAGAACTGAAACTTGTTTTCAGTGGTAGGCTGTACTTCTCAGCAAGTTGTGTTATCATACCTACATATCACAAATAACAATTTGACCCAAATCAACGATATAGACAAACACATTTACCTGTACAAACTGTGGAAATGATTCACACAGGTTGAACATGTCAGATAAATAAAGGACAAAAAGAGTTTTAAATACAGGGATCACAATATAATTGCTCATCCTCATTTAAATGAAATTGGATTTTTATCTACAAATGGAGAACCTGAACGTTAATATCAAAAGCATTTCAGTTACACATCAGTGATTAACAGCTTATACTAATACTAAATATGTTTTCCACTTCAAAAGGTTATACAGCATATGGCCTCTGTATGCTAGACGTAATGTACTTCGAACTCCAAGAAAATAAAAGTCTCAGTTTGGAAATACCTGCTATGTCATCAACAATTTCTGTGTATGTTCTACGAGCTATGTCAAGGAATTCACTGATGTTTGGCTTAACAGCATAGCATTTTTGGGTCCTCATACTCAGGCATCCTTTTGCATATCTCGTATCGTCATTAATCACAGTTGTAATCTTTTCAAGTATAATTCCAAACCTGCAATATTAGTAGTGCCACATATTAGCTACATAATATTTTATGATTGTAATTTGTATTGTTATCATGAAATTACAAATAACTGAAGCAAATACTCTATCTTTGAAACAAGCATTAACTTTCATGAACATTTTCACCTCAAAACATAGTACAAAAATGTCTGATAAAAAGTATCATTTGATAGTCTTTGGGAGATACAGATACCCGAATATAAATAAGTAACAGTTTACTTTTGCATTAGTTTCCTAGGAAACTACTGCTTCTGCCTTCTTACAATCATTTCTAACAGAGTACAGTTTGTTCATCAGTTAATTTCTGCTCATAGCTGTTCTTCTGCTTTGGTTTTTCCAGCATTTGTTTATTAGTTGAAAATTAGAATTTTAACATAAAAATCAAGCTTTTAGCCAAAACAATAGTCATGCTTGCTGCTACAAACAAGCAACGATTCAACATAATTATTGTAATACCTTCTATCTTCAAGAGCATTGTAATAGGCCTTTAGCAGGGATGTGTTACAGCTTCTCAAAGCAGCCTGTTAGAAAGTAAAACATAAACAGTTAATTCTCACAGCCCTGTTAAAGGACCGGAAGGTCTTAAATTCACTGAAGCTTATCAGCGGTTGCTTAAGCAGCCTGCAGAACCTGAGTAGGAGTTTCAGTTAAATATTTGCTAGAAAATCAATTATTCAGATAATGGTAAGAATCCAGTTCTTAGGAATACTGGGCTCAAATAATTGTTTTTCATTTGGCTTAAAAGTTAAAACAGACTATGCTGGCAGTATGGCGTTCTGCAAGATACATGGTAAATCTCATGAGACGTACCAAGTAGGAAGGACTAATTCGTTTTTACTTCACACCCAAGAAATGACAGATATATCTTACTTTCAGAGGCTCCACAAGCTCCAGAGTATGCTTCAGATAGATTATATTAGTTATTTTTGATTCAGCAGTTTTAACCTGTTGAAGAATTTTTACAAATATAGGAAGTTTAAAGAAAGTATGTAACTAGCAGAATTCACACTGTGACTCTAAAGGTTTATACTGTTAACTTCTAGTGAAAATTGCTGAAATACTTTATAAGCTCATGTTGACAACTTGGTACGCAACTGCAAAGAAAATGTTTACACAAATTGTACATTGCCAGCAGTGATCGTTTGCCCAGCAGTAAGTGGTGCTTTTCTTATGGCTGCACAGATAATGATCAAATCTGAGAATAACTGCTAAACTGTTGAAGAAACTGCAAGGTTTACACTGAGTTTGCAACATAAGCTGCTCATTTACCCCTGTATAGCCCCATCCGTGACCATGGTAGGGTCAATAGGTTAACTAATCAACAAATAAATCAAGATCTTAGAATTGTCAGGGTAAGAATAGATGAGAAATGAGTGTTGAAATGCTTAAGTAGAGATTTTGGCTATTAGATGAGAGTAGGTGCACGTGTCTTTTCAGAGAATTAAGGTAAAGAATTAAGATTACCTGAGGCATGACGAACGAGGACAATATGTTATGGAAGGAACCGAAAGAGACGATGAGCACATTGTTATCCCCCCCTTTTTTGCTATGTAGTCACCCCTGAAAAAGTGTATAAATACCCTGTGTGTATGTTGGGTCTGTGGACACTTGTTAGAAGTGACCCGACCCTGCTGTTGTAGCAGAGTCTGATTTAATAAAGCTCCTTGATGAACAACTGAGTTTGAGTCTCACTACAATCCCGTCTCTGAGTTCAAGTCTCACTACAAGACTGTCTCTAACATAAACCAAGCTGTGAAAATTTCTTTTAGTCTTCTACATTATAGGTACAGACTTTTTCAAAGCCACTACACAACATATCATAATTAAGATGCTCGGTCCTTTTCATAAACACTGTTAAACAGTGCATAATCTAATCTGTTCTGACAGTCCTTAAGCATACACACACATAATTTTAAAATAAATAAAAGTCAGTAAATGCTAAACATTTTGTTTGCTCCTCAAAATTTTTAGTCCACATTCTATAATATAACTTATTATGTATGTCCCATTACGTTTCTAACAAAGAATTTTGCTGTTGCCATTAGCATATATAATACATACTGCACTGCATGCTCTCATAATTCCAGATGAGAGAAATAAAGGATATGATAATCCTGATATCTTCCAAAAGGAAGTAGAAAAAAGTACATACACATACAGTGCATCTGTACTATACGTGTATGTTTATAAACATATACACACATATGAAAATTACTCTTATACCCTCTAGGATAATACGTATGTGCAGGATTTTCACATGCATACAGACACAATGTATGTTGAATAATAGTAGTTACTTGGAAAATTAGTATTGGTATTTCCTTCATGGAAATGCACACTTGCTATTTCCCTATTGTTACCATCAAATAGTATGTGAAATAGCCTCCGAAGATGGATCAAAAGAGATATCTAAGATAAAAAGCCGTGAATTCTTACGTGTTTCACTCTACCAACATGAGAAGGTAGTGCTCTGAAAAAGAAGAAAAGGATCTCTCTCCTTACAAGAGAGGAATTTTAGAAACTGATAAACACACTGTTTGGCTCCAAACTAAATCCAGTGTCAGTTTTTAAACACGAATGCATAAGTATGGCATCCAGTGAAATTTCTTCTCATGTATGCATAATTGCATAACACAAACTGTAATCTTGTGGCAGAGGGCATCTATTGCTTTATCTCAGAGGTGAACAACAGGAATGGTCTTAATGGTCTTTTCCAACCCAAACGATTCTTTGATTCTTACTATCTATACAAGGTTGTTTTCTCTAAAAGACAGAAGAGGATTAAAGCAATACTAAATACACTAACAGGGGAGTCTTCAGAAAACATGGAGTGTAGGTCCCATGATGGAATCAACCATCAAAAGGAGATGCACAGAAGTTTATGAAGAGTTGATATTTCATAATGAAACACACCTTTTCTAATGTCGTGCTTACAGGAACTTTACTAGAAGCAGTGTTATATTAGTGTAGCTTTATACTTGCTGCACTTTATGGTCAAAGGAAGAAAATGAATGAAAATAACCATCGTGGTCAACCGTCTTGTACAATGGTAGTTCTTTTAGGATTCAATATTCACGGAGAAAGTGCAAACCTATCTTTCATAACATCTCACATTAATTTTCCAAGGTTATAGACAGACATAAGCAAAGCACAAAGACGCAGAGAAATAGTTGTTGTTGGTTTTGGTTTTTTTTTGTACTAGAGATTTTAAGTCCCACAGATTTAAGTGCTATGGCAGCAGATCAGCCCTAGCTTTATTTCCCGGGAAATTACCAATGCCAAATCACGCTCTGACAAAAGGGAACAATATGCTGACTCACTATGCCTTCCATTCAAAGGCTAACAAAAAAAGTATCAGTCAAATTGAGAACTGGAGGCAGACAGGATTTCAAGACACTATTCAGAATTGAGGTCTCCCTCTTTCTCGTACATATATACACGCCTGAGCATTTAAGGTTCTCTGCATATTGGAACAGTCGGTGTAAAGGGGACTTCCATCTCATTTAGTACCACTCATGCAGTGTAATCAAGCATCTTGTTTTCTGTCAGCTGGCTGCTGCTCAGAGGAAAACACACAGCTTTCCAACGAAAAAGTTACACTTAGCTCACACTATATCTGTTATCTTGGAAACTAAGAAGAATTCCTACTTCTGTCTTCGGAGCTTTACACAATTTAGTAATTAGATGAAGATATATCTGCATCTCTGCATTATAAACACAGCAAAGCAAAGTCCAAGTGCTTCTTCAGAATCTTTTCCAAAGGTATTTCTTAGGCTATAAAGAGTAATTTCCATTAAGTTATATTAGATGAAAACTAAGAGATATTTTAATTTCATGTAAGGAAGATGCATAATTTTCTTCAGGCTACCAAAAACTGCATTAACCTCTAGAAGTTACATTACAGATTTTTCTTTTCATGTTGATATGAAAACTCCTTACATCCTATCATTATGGTCTAGAGGGAGGTATCTCTGCCTATAGGAGGTGGGTTGGAACTAGATGATCATAAAGGTCCCTTCCAACCCAAACCATTCTGATTCTAGGGTACACTTCTATGAAGAAGGAATCTGGGGAGTGATGAAGAAATCACTCTTTTTAAGTTCAATTTGCATACATTATGATGACATATTACAGCAAACCCAAATAACATTTACCTTTAAGAATCTTATCCTATTGTAAAATATGATATACTCACAATCTATGATAACATTAGTCCACGAATCTTTAAGGTGCAGCCTTTTCTTCTAGATTTTTAGATATATAGACATATATTTTACGTTTTGCATGTAATGTGCAGATAACTCATTATTCTTAAGTGTGTTTTGGAACATACTGTATCTTGCTTCGGAATCTGTACCAAAATTGAAAGCAGTTGTTCTGTATCCAGGAATTTGGAGATAACTGTAAAACAAAAGTAACCAGATCAGAAATGTAACAAATTTCAAGAAAATCATATTAACAATCTGCACTTCTTTTATTTTTTAATGTACACAATTATTTATTAATATTAATGCTAATCCACTTATTTTTATCCTAGCTTCCTATTTACCAGAAAAAAAAAATACAACAAAAGACAAAAATATCCACTAAGTTATTTAGTCATAATTACACTCACCGTATCCAAGAATGCAGTGATTACTGTATAGGTGGACATGTATCAATTCAATAATTTTTTTTTCCTAGAGCAACTTTCAAAGTATATATGACCTAGAGAACAACTAAAAGTAAGAATAGTCTAACTGTCAAAGGGAAGGTTAGAAATAAAAATAGAGGAAAAGAAAACCTCAAATGTGCAATACTGCCAATAATTTCTCTTTCATGTTTCTCCTGTGATAAAGATTAAGCTTGTGCAATATGTTTTAGGTGGCCTAACTCGTACTCTTTGGTAATGTACTATTTTTATATTTGTCTGGACCATTACGTTTTAGGAGGCAAAGGGAAAGAAAACAAAAACATGAATAAGGCCTTTATTTGTTTTTAACAAACAAACCACTTCCAAAACTATGTATCAAGCCATAAGAGGTAAATTCCAATTACATGAAAAAGCTATTGGCTTACTGACTTTTATCTACTTTATAAGTTCACTTTTCTTTGCAAAATATATTTAAAAAAAAAAAAAGTCACAGTATCACAATAAAGATGGCTTCAAAAGTTATGAATGACCACTACAGAAATGTCACCTGACAATCATAATAAAATACTTTTCAAACACATTGAATCAGACTGCACACTGTCAGATTAGAAAAAAAGTTTAAAAAGGAATAGCATATTAAGTATTAAAAAATAAATTACTACCTGCTTGAAGACCAAAAAACAGCTCCTCATCCTGGAGAAATTCCTGAACACAGTCCAGTCTTATTTTAATTGTTTCAGCATCAACAAGTGGCTCCAGGATATTGGCTCTGAGTCTTCGACTTCCACCTGGAGTTTTAGTGTAATTTAGGACGCCAAAAAGTGTGTGACCATTCCTGCTAAAACAAAATATACAGGGAGAATGCATTCATAAAAATAATGATAGTAATTAACAAATAACATTTCCAGGAAAAGTATCCAACAAATTCAAGGCATGCTTTCAGAGTACTCAGCAGCTTCCCACCTGCTATGTGTATTTTATGAACTACAGCAGTTTACAAAGTCAGATGCAGTTTAATATAGTATTAGCCATCACTTTATCATTTATCAAAACATAGAAATACACTTGCATTCAGAATGTGTTCATCTTTTTTTAGGATTACTCCATTGCTACTGCAGTTTACACTTTTCCTCTCAACTGAACTATTTGAATTCGCACACAAACCATAGAAAAGGACAAATATTATTACCTGAAATCAAATGCAAATGAGGTAATTTTCAGTAAAACACATTTAAGAGAAAAACTTGATTTAGGTGCTGCAATCTTAAACGCCCTTACCGAGAATCTCTGTTATTAGTTACCAGTTCCAGATTTTGGGCTGATGATGAATCTATCATAGCTGTTTTCTCACTCCCCTGGAAACGGACCTTGAGCGACTTAGGAGCATAAATGGAGTTCTGAATAAACTCAACATACTTCAGCAAAGCTGCAGCAGCTGCAAGACAGTAGTACCTTGGAAAGAAACAATCTTTAATGAATGTTGAATAGTGCTACTTAGTTATCAAAAATCAAGTGGTATACCAAAGAAATCACATTTAACACTTGACTTGACACTTGCTACTCGACAGCTACTGGGATTGAGAACGCTGAAAAAGCAGTGTATTTAACAAATGCGTATACATCTAAGAATCACAGGATTGCAGGGGTTGGAAAGAACCTCAAGAGATCATTGAGTCCAACCCCCTGCTAAAGCAGGTATCCTACAATCAGTCGCACAGGTAGACAAACAGGTGGGTATTGAATACCTCCATAAAAGGGGACTCCACTCCCTAGACAACCTTTTCCAGTGCTCCGTCACCCTTAGCATAAAGAAGTTATGCATGTTAGTACAGAAATTCTTATGCTCAAGTTCTAGGCCACTACTCCTTGTCCTATCACTATGCACCACCAAAAAGAGCCTGGCCTCATCCATTTGCGTCCCACCTCTCTTCAAAAATTTATGAACATCTATCAGATCCCCCCACCCCTCCTCAGTTTTCTTTTCTCCAGGCTGAACAGACACAGGTTATTCGGCCTTTCTTCATATGGGAGATGCTCCAGGCTCTGCATCACCTTTGTGGCCCTCCCCTGGGCTCCTTCTAAGAGATCCTTGTCTTTTTTGAACTGGGGAGAGAGTCTGGAGCTAGACAAAGTACTCTAAATGTGGCCTCGTCAGGGCAGAGTAGAGGGTGAGGATCGCTTCCTTCAACCTGCTGGCCACACTCTTTTTAATGCACCCCAGGATTCACACATATAATGCATACAGTATGATCACTGAAATCAAGTCGTCGTGAATACCTGAGTCTCTGTACACTTGATATCCCATATTATGCATCTCGTACCATGTACATGCATATTTCTGTGGTTATATGTGACTTAAATGAAGACTCTGCACAATGTATACAGAAGATTGCGGGTACAAGGAAATCTTTTGCAGAAGCCAAACTGGAAGGCATTCATAGTTTTTAAATTGCCTATTTAAGAAGAGAGTGGAAAGGGGGAAGTGGAAAGTTCTAAAAACCCAATGAAATCTTTAAGTTTCTGTATACATCAGAAATACCTGAAGGCAAAATAAACAGTTATGTTAAGAACTTCTTAACTTCTAAGAAAATGCAACAAGCCACTGGCTTTTGTACTGAGCATGTATGAAGCTGTTAAAAACTTATCTGGACATGGTATGATTTTTCCTTATTTAAACATACTTTGATTGAATCTCCATGAAAACAGTGCTGAATTCAGATGCACACAATTGCTCTATATACTCCAAACCCTTTGTTTCATTGAAGTATTTTCTTTGGACGGTTGTAAATGTCACATTCTGGAAAGACAGAGGAAAAAAGCAAATAATTTTAAAAGTCACAAATAATTTTTTCATCAGACAGACTTCTCTATTTTTGCTAGATCTTTGCTCCCAGGAAAGTCCACCAACTGATTTCAGCACATGACTAGGCCAGAAATCACAGAAACACACAAAATCGGACTGCATGTAAAGCTTCAGAAGTTGTAGAAGACTCAACAATCATACAGATGCAATTAACAAGAGCTCTAAAATGCAGAATAAAATTTAAGAGCTTACTTTGATATGTTCTGTTATTAAAGCAAACAATTTTGTGGTGTTCCCTGCTTCACAAGAAGTGTTTGGCATTATTATTTCCAGAGGTGTTAAAATTTTGAGTTTAGTAATAACCTGAAAAAGAAAAAAAAAAAATCTTGAGTAATTCAATACAAATCCATATCTAAAACAGCTTTACACTATAACGTATCAAGAATAGAGAGTTATGGAATTCTTATATTTTAAAATCACAGCTTATCTTGTAAATAATGACCAAACTTTATGCTTATACATTAATGAGCTAAATATATCTGTAGCTATATAAATACAAAGTACACAAAACTATTTTAAAAAAATAGAAGTTATCTTTTATTTAAACACTTATTTAAATAAAAAATATGTTTGTGTCTGAAGCACAGTGTCCCTTACAACTTGGGATATTCTACAGTTCTGTAAGTACTTGGGAGTATGAGAAAATAAATGCCTTGTTCAATCAGTGATGTTCAGTTTTTCCCTTACAAACTTTCAAGTGAACTGTTATTTCTCACATCACCATCTGAATGTCTAACCCTCACACACACCTATATTCTCAAACTGCACGCCACTTTGGATTCTACTACTCTGCACGACAGAAGTATTTACACACCTGCCAAGTTCAGTGAGTTCTTATGCCTGTTAAAACCAGGATAAGCTTTAAATTAACTAATGGTAAAAATAAAAAATAAGATAAAAAATAAAATAAAGAACAGAAACCCATGAACACCTGACAGTATTACAAATTTTAGTAAATAGATTTAACAGTTGTTTATATCCCTAGTCATATCTACTTGCCATACTAACAAAATCTAGTTTTTCTTAGGCTGAATATTGTAAACACACTGCAAGCTATATTGCTTACTAGCACATACAGCCTAACAACAAAATTGTTAAGAAAGCAGTTTTATTAATATTAGAATTGCATCAACAGATAGATTACTTTCCTAATTTTAAAATATGCAGCAATGGTGGACAGAACACTTGGTTGTCAAATGAATACATTTCATTTGGAAATAACTGAGAACAAACATTCACACAACTATAGAAATTCCATGCTACAGTCTGCATAAAACAAATAAAAGTCACACTTGTGAAGTGCCACTCTCAAAGATGTTTTGTCTAATGAAAAATACTTGCAAATTCTATTACCATGCATTCCTCTAATGCTCTGCAGTACAAGGTATCTCAGTTTCACATAGTTCAAATACACTATTTTTTGCAGAAATGCTTTTTCTGTTTTGCAAAGCATTCTTTTCTCTTCATCTGAAATCCGTGGCACAGCACAGAAAATAGCACCTCCTTAAACAAAATAAATATTTCAAATTTTGTAGAAATTCTTACTTTCCCTTTTGAGATTTTTTTTCCTAGAAACTGAATCTTCCATTCCTGATTATTCAAGCAAGCAATCCACTGTAACCAGCCCGTCAGGTATACGGTAGTTAACTATGCAACAATACCTTGGCATAAGTCGTATTGTCTGCAAATTGTGACAGTATCACCTCAGGATTCTTTAAGTCAATACTGGCCATTCCTACTTCACCTCTGGCAAGGCCTCTTCCTTCTACTACAGCTACAATAACTGATGCAGCAGTATGAGCAGAGACTGTAGATGACGATGTAACTGTAGAACAGTTGCATATATTCAGTTATCACCCACTTTTTTATATTCACAAAATCATACTTTGATATTCCAAGCTTGGACAAGCTGTGACAGAACTAGCAAACTGAGGATTGTGAAGGTGTTTTTTTGTTCAATTATTGTTTATTGTAGTATAGTTGACTGGTGCCAAAGTTCAACACATTCCTTGATCTTGTTCCTCCCAAACCTCCTCATACGGTACTGAACTTTGAACAGCACTGATTTTAGAAACTAATAATGCATTTCTCTCTATCTTTCTAGCACTACTGTTTTCAGTGCCTAAAAACTAGACACAGTGAGGCAATAAGGAGGGCAGTTTGAGAGATGAGTTATCATCTGCAGTCAGAACTGGGGGATAAGCAGTCAGACAAAATGAGCTGAACCTCGTGATTCTGCCCTGATTTTCTTCGGGCATCTGTCATACTGATCTGCAACAATATGCCTCAGTCAGCAGTTATTGAGTCCCCCATACAAAACTGTGTTACCTGGGAAACACTATTAATTGTTAGATTACTGGACTTCCTACATAAGAGACTTAATTAACCAGGGTGATGACCTTTTTCCCTGGTGTACTGAACATTTTAACCAATGAAACACCAAAAATATGGATATAGTGCTTCCTTCGGTATCTCTGCTAATTTTGGTGTTACATTCTTCAGATCTCTCTGAAGAAGCTACTAACAACATTTTGTTCCAAAATTTGCAACCTCAGATTGTGAGTCTACGCTATTCAAATGAGAAGACAAACACTGCAGAAATAAGGTAGACACACATATATGTATATGAATTTCTGTTGAGAACAAATGCAGAGAACAATTACCTATTAATTTCATTGAAGTAGCTAATAAGAAACTGAAATAAATTTTTAATGCTAAAATGCAACTTGCTGATCAACACTGAAACAATGACCACTCCACGAAATATAGTCACTTCATGATCTCAAGCTTCTTAACCTTCACACACAAGTCAAACCAAACCTTACAACAGCTGAGTTGAACAGGTTCTTCAGTACTGGATTTTAACAGCACATACAACCTGAAATACTAATAATCTGTATTCATTTCATGTAATTATTTATATTCTTTTCCAGCACTACTTTCCTCAAAAGAGGAGTCAGCTCTCAAATAAGACCAGAACAAAAATGTTCTCAGAACAGAACTATTCTGTCAAGAGGGCATAATACACCAAACTTGCCATTTTCTTTTGGATACACTCCATATGTATCCCAAAACCAAAGCAAACCCCACCAGAAATCTCAAAAAGCAACCAGAATAAAACATTTATCTAGGAAGTGACAACTTGATCTCCAACTAACTGCTACCTAAACATTAAGAAAATGTAGTCTTTGATATTGTGCACAGCTAAGTCTGAACCTTCATTTACTCTATGTTTGATAGATGCCAGCAATGACATTCACATATAGTTTCATCTAAGGCCTGCTTTGAAAACCTAATTGTTATTCAGAATGATCTACCCAGGACAGTCCATGATTCCCCCCCATATCAGTAGCTAATTACTTTTTTTTTTTTAAACAGCAGCTAAGAGGTGATGATAATAATAATTATTTTAAATTAGGGTACAGAAGTTAGACAATTCTGATTTTGATGATGGTTAGTTGTTTGGTTGGTCATTGCATTTTTTTAAATTTTATTTTTGTGTGTGTAACAAACTAATGTTCTTCATAATATGGTATGCTGGATATGTTGTCTTCAATACAGACAAATGAAACTTTGACCAAAGTTTCACATACAACACAGCAAGTATAAATAACCATACAGATACATGGGTACACACATACACTTGTAGACTAAAATGAGATGAAAAAATATGGTTTTAATTGCTAAGACATGTAAAGGTTGGAGAAATCTGCTCTGTGGGTTTCAAAGTTACAGTCACCCCAATTCCTAGAATAGTCAAAAAGAAAACGGGTTCACAACAGCTGTAAGAAATGACAAACTTCATATTAGCTCACATTCTGCAATCAAAGAATTCAACTCGGTTTCAAGTAGAGAGTCAGTTTGTAATTTTATCAGGATTTGTTTTTTAATTGAAATACGGATGTTTTTAAGAATCAATCTTTAAGTAACTAGTTTAAGAGAATTACCATTAAATAACATTAAGATCACTAAAGACTGAACTGACAGAGCTTAACTCAGACTGAAAAGATGAACTTTGAATATTATTACTTCAGCACTACCAGATAAACACAAAATGACACAAGACAACATTAACCTGTAAGATGGCTTTGCTCGTAAGCAGCATTGCAAAACTTCCACCCAGTGAGCTACTGTATAAGTGTTGTTAAGGATCTACCAACCTACACCTTTGAAAACAACAACATAATATGCATAAGAAACTCACAAGAAATTCCAATTACTTCACGATCCATGACATACAATGCTTTATGAGCCTAAAAAGAAACCTGATAAGAAACGTTGTTCATAAAGGCAGGAGCACTGTTAGGTCACAGCCTGAACTGCTGTTTAGGCACCTGGTGAAGGGGTGTGACCAGAAGGAGTGGATCCAGGCTGGAGCCACTCTGGGCTAACATAAGGGCCAGCCCCTGAAGAGACAGTCTCCCTTGGATATAGGCTGCTTAGGTATAAAAAACAACTGATATATCTTTCATTATCACATTATAAGCACATTAAAAAATAAAGTATGTTTAACGAAATGTTAGAGATATATGCTGAACTATTTTCCTTAAGCACCGTCAATTTACCTGAATATCCTGTAGCAGGAGTATGGCTTCTGCCAATAGATCTACTGGTAGAAAAGGGTATTTTTCCTACACACGTGTTATTTAGGCCTCGTGCAGAACAACCACTTGTGAAATTCACTGCACTACCATTTTCTGCACAAGAACTTTTGTCCCCAAGATATGACTCTGAAGGGAAAGGGAAGGAAAACAAGAGTCAGCTTCCGTTCTGAAAGCAACACATACATATCTTAGAAAACCTTACATTTTGTACTAGAAGTAGAGATGTCCCAGCAATTCACCCCCAATATCCTTATCTATACTACAATAGTACCAGCCTGAAATAAGAATGAGTTTGTTTTGAAAACCAGCTTGTATTGATAGTTACTTTCCATAATGACTTTACTTGCAGTAAATCTCGGGTTAATTTGCTGGACTGAAACAATATAACTGAAGTAATTTTACAATGCATAATTTTATATGCTAATGAGTTCCAGATCTATGAAAAAATGCTGTAAGAGACAGCTCTATCTTGCATTTTCCCATTGGTTTTAAAATCCATAGCTGAAACTACATACTTCCCTTTATGAAAATTTCAAAGTTTGAAAAAGTCACAATAGGTTTTTGTTTGTTTGTTTGTTTTTTTAACATCACAGAATCACAGAATGGCCAGTGTTGGAAGGGACCTCAAGGATCATGAGTCTCCAACCACCCTGCCACATGCAGAGCCACCAACCTCCACATTAAATGCTAAACACGCACATTCCCTTTTAAAAAACGGCAGTAAAAGAGCCAAGAACTGTGCTCAAAAATACCTTCCACGTGACCATGATCTCCCTTTGAATTTATGAGGTTTAACCCTCAGAAATGATACAGTAATCTGAAACATGTTTGTTATCTGTTACCTGCCATTTTTTCTACAGATATATCATAAGATTTACCTTTTGTTTTTAAATGTGGCAAAATACTTTTTCCCTCAGACCACTCTTAAATTCAATAAATTAGTAACTTCTTTAGTAATTAGTATTTTATGTATGTTGAGTAAAAACATAAAATCTTTAATCCAGCTTGGATAGCTGCTTTTAAAAATATATATATATAATAATGGATTTTTTGCACTTGAAACATACAAAATACCACATATTAAGAGACATACTGTTTCTGTTCTATATATTACATTAAAATTGACTTACAAAGTGCGTAAGTATTTTTCTTAAATGAACCGATTACACAACATTTTATAATAGTACAAGAATATTTACAGCACCGTGTTTGTTTGCAAAAGGTCTTGCAAAACTTCCACCGTGATACATCCGAAAAGAAATAGTATTAATTCAGACAGACATTCTATTTACTTATAAGGAGTGGAAAAAAATGCATCACAGTGCATAAAGATGATTGCTAAAATTAGTATTCACCTAGACTTCAGCATAAGTTCACTCAGAACGTTGGCAGAACAGACTTAGCTGTTAAGTAATTAGCTATTACTTCGGAATGCCTTAATGCGTGGGAAAAAAAGCCATTTCAAAGACCAGGGGAACCAAACCGTCAGCATCTTTTCAAAGAATAATAAAAATTCAACAATGAAGTTATGCTTTGCTCAAAGCGGTACTGCAAGCTTTTGTCTCTTTTGGATTCCAGCCTGACGGCGTACCTCCTAACGAAACACACACAGCCTCCATCCCAACTTACACCGAACAGGAACATGCCTGCTTCACATTTCAACAAGTGTCCCATTTTTATTATTACAGCAGTTTTACTGAAGAGGAAAAACAAACCCACCCACCCACTTTTTCCAGTCCGCCAAGAAGAAAGCCGGCAGCCCCCGGGATGGCCGCTCCCAGCAGCCCGCCAGGACGGCGAGGGCGGCAGCCGGGCCCGGAGCAGAGCCAGGCGGGCCGCCACAGCCCCGCAGGGAAAGCAGCGCCGCGGGGGGATTCAAACCGGCCAGGTGACTTCGCGCGCTAATTATCTAAAGCGTCGGGCAAAAACGGCGCTTATTTTAAGGAACCCGAGGAATGCCGTCGTTTGGATGAGCCGAACCGAAACAAACAGGCGGCTGGGATGAAGAGACGGCGCTCCGCCTCCGCCCGCCGCTCAGACCGCGGCCACCGCAGCCGGGCAGGCTGAGGGCAGCAGGCGGGACGCGGAGCGGCTCACTGAGGCGAACGCAGCCGGCGACGCCGCTCCTACCTGCCCGGCCGGAGCGCGGCTCCTTCCCGCCGCTGCCGGCAGCCCCGAGGGGAGCGAGCCCCGCGCCGCCGCTGGACGAGCCGCCGCTGCTGCCCTCGGTGCTTCGCGGCGTCCGCAGCAGGCCCAACGTGCAGCGCCCGCCCGACCCTGACAGGGAGGAGGAGCAGCGGCCCGCACAGGGCTCTGAGGCGGCCGAGGTCACCGCTCGCCCGCGCGCTTCCATCTTACTGCCGCCGTCCGACGTCGCGGCCTCAGCCCCGCGGGCCGAGCCGCTGCCGCGACGGCCGAAAACGGCGCCAAACTCAGCGCGGCCGCGCACGCGCACAATTCTCACCTGCCCCAGCCGCCGCCCAGCCGTTACCCGCCGAGGGGCGGCGCCGTTCGCGTGTCGCGCTGAGGTGACGGCGGGCCGCTGCGTCTCTTAGGACGGGAGAGCACTTCAGGTCGACGTGCTTTCTTCAGCTGACTACACATCCAAAGCTGTTTTTAGCAGGAATTCAGAGACGGCGTGCCCCGAGAGCTAACAAAAACCCTTAATTAAAAACAAACACACGCACCAACACAGACTAACGTAGGTTGTGCATCCAGACGTTGCTTTAAACACAAGAGCACACAGACCGGTGTGGGTACCAGCACGTGCTACCACCGTGGAAGCTCTTTCAGTTAAAGAAAACATCACGGCACTTCAAATTCCCTTACCTGAACAGCCACAAGGCGCAGAGGCCAGCCTGAGGAGCGCACAGCTGGCAGGCGGTCTGAACCGGTCAGCTCCGCAACAGCAATTCACAGCAGCTGCCAGGGCTGCTCCGCTGCCAGCACCGAGGGGCACCGACCGCCCAGCGGCCCAGCTCACACCAGACACAGTTCTAAAAACTCAAGTGTCAGAAACTTGAGTTTCACTGCCATGGATGGAGAATTCCAATTCCAGATGCTGCTATTGTCTTAACTAAGTCCTATGCTGAACTTCAGACATTAAAGATGGTGTTTGTTACACGTTCTCTTCAGACAGAAATCTAAGTGCACAGATAGAACAACAGAAACAAAGCTACATCTTCCCACTGAGCCCCATTTCTTACGTTCATAAATCATAATGCAGACTTTGTCTGATCAGGCTGTCACAGACATGACACCTTTAGAACTGCTAAAAAGTACACACTTCTGATAAAGAAGATAAAGTAGTACAACTTCTGAAGGACTTTAATAAAGGACCAGTAACTGAAGACTATGAGGTTAATTATTGCAACATAGCAAGTACATAAACTCAGGGAAAAAAAAGAACAGAAACATTAAAAAAAACTCACAGACTTGTAACAATGTACTCTGCACCAAAATCTCATATTGAAGTGTTTTAATATATGCACATGGGCCAACTAATTTTTTTTCCCCACACAGTACATTGAAAAGAATTGATTTTGTTTGCATAAGAAAAACGGTGATGATTTTTTTTTTTTTAATATACACAATATCTATAATAAGTTAAAAGAGGTAAAGAATGGAAGAAAAAATGTAAGACGTTTTCACTTTGGACACACATTCATTCATTTTTAACCTGCAATCTGTATAATGTAATTTTTAGTCACAAGAGCTGACTTAACAAACCAAGACCTCCTTCAGACAAGTTTCTTAACATTAACAAGATTTCAGTCTACAGTGTTCTATACTCTCATGTAGTATCACCCATATTTTGATTCCCAGAATGTCTCACTACAGTCTATACTAAAGTAGAAATTCTGAACTGTATTGTTATGTTTATATCATACAGAAAAAATAGTAAATGCCGGAAGAGTGAAGCTTTGAATAAAGAAGCAGCACTTACAAAGGCAGCCTGGAATCTGAGGTTATTTCTTCTTAATTTTTAACTTTCTGTTTATTTTTACAAATAAATAAAACCTAATCAGTGCTCTCATTCCCCCATACTCATCAAAAAGTCAACATTAACTTAACTCCAAATCTTGAAAAAATAAATTCCAGGCTTTGACCAAATAATCCACTAGGAAACCAAACCATTAGAAGGGAACCATTTTGATGCTTTTTTTTTTTTAATCATCTAAAAGCTTTCATAGAAATAAAGGTTAAAAAGAAAAACCAAACATAGTATTTGAGCATTCAAACAGTCTCTGAATTTCCCAAGAAGTTATTGAGCCTTATTCTCTACTAAGATGAATGGGTTGGAAAAAACTAACCAGCTGGTGATCAAAAGTGTTGAAATAGTTTTAGACCTTCTTTAAGCATACATACAGAGATTATCAAAGACAACTTCTTCCCCCTCACAACTACATTTTACTGTGAAGTGAAATTCAGTTTTAGACAGTGTGCAGGAGGATGTAAAGTAACATAAGTAACATGCAATTTTAGGGCTTCTGCAAAGACAAAAGGATTTCATCTATCAGATGAGTGTGTTCCATGGCTAATTTAACTCTGAACTACACCATAATAAAGTGCTGGCAATTTTTGTCTTAAAAGCTGCAAAACCAGAATTTCAGTCCAGCAACAAATTTATGATCAGCACTATATTCAGCTGCAAGTCACTTTCCTATGAAGAATTTCTCTATAATGACTAACATTTGTAGTTTTCAATGCAGATACACTCAAGGTATTCTCCATTTCAACTATCAGGGGAATTTTGTCAAAAGGAACTTTTGCAGTAATAGGAGCACATTCCTGTATTTAATAGAATCATATTTTTTGTTGCTTTCACTGGTAACAATTACTATTAAAAGAAATAGCTTGCATCTGAGTATACAGAAGTGAGGCTGAGCATGAACAGAAAGAATTACACAGACAAGCATTTGGCATTAAGTGTGTGGCTTATGTTGGGTGGTTTTTCTTCCTGTATTCTTCTAAAGTGCTGTGTGTGGTACACCATCAAAACATGCTTGCGTAAAGACAGATGCTACCATGGTTAACATTGCAGGAATAGAAACAATTAAGATATTCACACTACTGCTTCAACTTGGTTATTAAAAAAAAAAAGCCTACATATTTAGATACAGATTAGAAATGTTTCTACATCTCTTATGTACAACCGAAGAACATATTACGCTCAGAATACTACAACAAGCCTGTTACAATACAGTTCACAAAGTGACAAAGCCCACAGTAAAGCTACTGCTTTACTGTTGTAATGTAAACACATCTCAAAGAAGAATATTAAGAATATTCTAAGCTTCAAAGATGACTTCCAATCAGTAAAACCAAACCAAGAGGATGTATCAGTTTGCTGTCCCCACGAGATTTAGCTCACAAGCTCAGGCTGTACATTTATTCTTTGAAGGACATCTTCTGGCATACAGAAGACAGGATTGACAGCCTTAATTTGTTCTTCCCCAAGTAAGGATAGTCCAGCAATTCCAAACAAAGTGTGAAATGGATCCACCTGGAAGACAAAGTTTGCAATCATTTCCAAAAGAACAGTCAGTTTTCACTGGTATGGAAGCTTCTGTTTGTTAGCAAGAGAAATACAAGCCTGTGCAGCTCAAGATAACATTGCAACTGCAAAAACTTCCATTTGTGCTTTTGAGCTTGTGTAAGCCCACAGGGGAGGCAACTCCCACAGTATGAACTTACAGTATATAATTAGTAGGCTAATATGACCATCCACAAGTATCACTTCCCCATTTTGCTCTTCAGCAACAGTGTAACACTCTTTAATGGTCTCTGAATAAAGAGCTGTACTGTAAAATCTTAAGAGAAGAGCAACAACTTACTGTTAAAATGAAAAGTAAAAACAGCCAAAAGAACAAGAAAAGAAACAGAAAAGATCACCAGTTATTTTATATCAAAGTATTCCTACACTTCACAAGTTTCCCCTGAAATGTGTACCGTCACGTAACTGCAGCAGACTATTTAAATTCTTTTGGCACGTACATCCTGTCAGCAAACTTAGTCATTCTACAAAATCCTATCCAAAATTACCTGGTGCAACATACATCCTGTTTGTATTACTGGAATTTCTAGGTCTTTTCAGAGAGGTTCTACACTGCAGTAAACTGAGCTAGTTTATCATGTTATAGCCACATAAGTGAAATCCAACCACTAGATCACAGCCTAAATGGTTAAAAGTACTGGCATAACCAGTCTTGTCCTTAGATGTCATAGCCACGATTTTCCAACCTTTCACAAATAAGCAGCCATGTATTCAAGGGTATTTGCACTGAGATCACATAATATATTTATTTGACCAGCACCCTGTACAATATAGATTATTTATGCTTCAAACCATAGAGAATACAACAACTAAAACTGTATCTACTCTTTCAGTCAAGGAGAAAATTAATACCACCAGCCTCTTCATAACACTGTCAGAAAAACTTCCTTCTCATTTACACTAAGGCCAGTGAGAGGATTTATGCAGTGGTATGCAACTATTCTGAATATTTACTCAAGAATAATTCAGATCAGACAAAAGCACAAGAGATATGAAGACTACTTAACTTGTGGTAATTTCTAAATGCCTGCAAATTGTTGAACTGTCAGTGTTTTCACCTAGATCTTCCATGCAGTCTTATGAGAAACATGAGAAACAGTGTGGTATGCATTGTGGGGACTGAGGGTCAGAGGGTGGTCATCAATGGCTCTATGTCCAGGTGGAGGCTGGTAATGAGCAGCGTCCCCCAGGGGTCTGTCTTGGGACCCGTGCTCTTTAACATCCTTATCAGTGACATCAATGATGGAATCAAGTGCACCCTCAGCAAGTTTGCTGATGACACCAAGCTGAGTGGTGCGGTGACACGGTTGAAGGATGGGATG